GTATACGTATTACGTAGAAGTTTCTTTGATTGGACTGATAAATACTATAGTATACGTATTACGTAGAAGTTTCTTTGATTGGACTGATAAATACTATAGTATACGTATTACGTAGAAGTTTCTTTGATTGGACTGATAAATACTATAGTATACGTATTACGTAGAAGTTTCTTTGATTGGACTGATAAATACTATAGTATACGTATTACGTAGAAGTTTCTTTGTTATAAATACTATAGTATACGTATTAAGAATTTACTAATAATAAATGCACTTGCAAAAATCAAGTATTGGTTCATTCTAAATACATGTGTTTTTTATAAAAACGATAAATGCATTGTTTTGTCTAATTGTATATATTGTTCCGGTAAGATATACGAATTTAGAAAACACTGCAATTGTATCTAAATGCAATAGCAGTGCAATAACAGTTAATTTGATTACCAATGATTGTTGATAATACTTAAAATTTCAATTTAATCATTATTGGGTCAGCTAAAATTGAAATTAAATTACAATGAAAATTTTCTTTATTTTAATTAGAAATTTGCACATCGTATTAAAATTATTTAAGATGCATCTTTTTTTAGAATTTTATTAGTATTTATGGTTAGAAGTTTTAATGCGTAAACTGTATAAGTGTATAAGTGTATAAGTGAACTTTTCAAATTCTATTTTTATCTGATTTTTCATTAAGATCTTCGACATTTAAATTATTTAATAATTTATTATCGTTATTTTTTGTTATTTACCAGGTTTGGTCTTTGAAAATCTGATCGATTTTGATATGTACTGTACGTACGTACGTACGTAGTTAACCACATATCATATATGTCACCGATAATATTTCACATAGCCTTAATCTGGTAAATAATAAATGATAACCGAAAATTATAGTCACATTTTTCCATTAGCTTTAACAATTATGCAGTGGCTTGCAAAGAAAACCAATAAAATGCATGAATTGACAGGTCCCATCATGATCTGCAGTAACGTAATTAAATATGGTATACAAGATCGTATACGTAATTCTTTATTCTTAGTGTTAGGACGCGACCGGGTCCCGGTACCTAATTTAACAGTAAGTGACACAAAACCTTAAAATATAAAAAATATAATAACCATTATATGCATACTTATGCTATTATGGACTAACAATGAATTGCTGTTAGGAGATGGTTTCGAACTTAAAAAAATTTTTTGTTCGAGACAAATTTTTTGAACTTTATAATAATAAAACAAAATCATTATATGTAAAACAAAATTTTATATGTTAATTAGTTTTCAGACTTTGAATAAAAAGAGTTTGTATGAAATTTTATATATAAAATTTTTATTCCTTTTATTAAATATATAATAAATATTCTATATACGCAGAATTCGAAGGACTCGGATCGGAAAGTCCTCAAGAAAAGGGAGTATTATCTGATACCGAAATGTTTGTTACTAGCTATGTATGTACATTATTAAATGCATTAAGTTCGTACATAAAAATATCAACACATTGAATATAAAAGGAATTAAAATATTGAGGTCTATCCTTATTTGCTACCAAATGCCCACATTGCCCTTAACAATTTGTTTAAAAAAACAAAAGCCTAAATTTATGCACATTTTGTTAAAAGGTTAAGGATCTCAAAATTGATGCATCATTGTATACGAATGCTTTATTATAGGTATGCACGTACGCACGTACATACGTACGTAATTTAAAGGATGATAATTAATTGGTACATTACAAATGATTACACTTATATTTCTCTTGCAGAAACATCTTTATTTGGTCAATAACATTAGTTCTAAAATTGTTATTGTATACGGAATGAGTACACACGCATTTCTTATTTTGCATTTGTAGTATGTCCTACAGTAACATATGCATTGATAGACGAGAACACGATTGTTTAAACTTCACGAGGTTGGCTTGTTAACTCCTACATTTAATACAATAGTAACATTGAAGCTTTTACTTTAAAAGATTGGTTCTAACGGTTATAAGGAGAAAGCTTATTATATAATTGTAATCTTCAATGTTACTATATATATAAACAAAAAATAATGGACTAAGAAAGATTTACATATTAAAGATTTACATATTTAGTCTAAGAAGGGAGTGATGAAATTATAAATACATAGACTATTAAAAAAAAGGCTAAAAGATGTGTGCCCATAAAAATTTAGATCTGATTGATTGGCGTAACTATATATGTCACATAGGGGCTCTTTTTTTTTGCAATTATTCCACCACACACGTATGTACATACGAACGTCGATTGTCTTTTTCTTATTCATGTTAGTAAATGCTACATTTTACGTACTTACAGCAGCATATACTAAATTTAGCAATGCATGTGTTAAAATAATGTTACTTCACAGTCGTATTATAGGTTCTTGAGAATAACTGAGGATGCGATATACAATGCATATGCAGTTCACCTCTAATGATAGACTTTATAGACTTTATATGAATTGAATGCTATAAGGCTCATTTCATTACATTAGAGACTACATTAAAACGAAAGAAAGTCATCACACTGTAACATTAGATTACTATGAAATTGAGATTTTCTCACAGTTACAATATTTCTATTAATAATAAAAGAAGTTTACACTCCCGGATCCATCAGGGGCTTCGTGCCATCATTCAAGTCTCAGCCATCGTTACGTAATTTATTTCATAGCCACCTCGATGATCTATTTTAATGCGCTTAGAGGCTTAACTTTACTAAAACAAGTAAGATCTTAATTTATTTGTTTTTGAAAAAGTTATGATAAAAATATCATGGGAATTTAATACGTGAATCGAAAATTCTCTGGTGCTTGGAAAATAATTTTCTTTATTTTAGTTTATTTATTATAATATAAAAAGTCAAATGTTTTTTCTAAATTCTTTTATTATTTTTTTTTCTTATTATAATTTTATATTGTTCATCAATCGGGTACCGGAATTAATAATATATGGGTACTAAAATTAATAATAAATTATTTGGAATTAATAATAAATTATTTGGGTAAAACAAAAAAATTAGTAAACTATGCCACAATTAACCCCGTGCATTTGTATATGTAAATCTGCTCGTATCGGTATAATAAATGAAATATCCGTAAATTATAAAAAAAGAAACTAAGCCTCAACATCCATAAAAGTTAAATCATGTAATAATAAAAGTGGCGATAATTATTTTTATCAAATCATGAATATCAATACGTATTAACATTTAATGCATTTTTAAACTTATCTTAATAAAGCATCAAAAATATGTTCCCTGCGTGATTACATCTTACAGTTATCTTAGTCTGTAAAAAGAACTAGCTAAGTAATTTAAATGGAAAAAGATAAATTATGTTAAAAATATTTTTTGTAGGAGATAATAAATTTTTATTTGTTAATGCGTAAAAAAAAATATATATAAATTTTTATATGTATTTATTTATTTATTTATTTACGATCATTTTTGATCTTACGATTTTCTGGTTTACACAGTTGATTGACAGATCAGGGGTAGAGGTGCGACGAATTACACATCACTTTATAATATTTATTTATATATATAATTGGAATATATAATAATTATAATAGAGAGGCGTTTTGCATCCGATGCGGGAAGTGCATAAATGTTCAAAACAAGTTAATTAATGCATATTCAATTAAAAAAAAAACTACTTACCTATGCTCACGATTTCTTATAAATACGGGTTCTTGTTCCCTTTACCACAAAAAAATAAGTTGCGCCGATTAAAAATCAAAAAAAAAAAAACTAAAATTTTGTTAATGATAATATAAAAATATAATCAAAAAATTATTTTTTATCGATTTAATCTGACAAAAAAAAAAAACAGGCGTTTATATTATTAAATTTAAAAAAAAAATAATAATAATAATACAAAATGAATCTCACTAAGAATACATTCATCCTCCTCCTCGTATGCATTCTTTTCGTCTCTGCTTTTGCTCAAAAACAACCAAATGCACCACAGTAAGTTTATAATTCAGTAAACTTTGAAATTTCAATATTTTTATTTCGTTTTTTATTAAAATTATTTTAATCTTGAGAAGGACCGATGAACCAGCAACACCATCAGGAGCTCCAGGAGCTCCAGGAGCACCTAAACAACCAGCAGGTCCAGGAGGTCCAGGAGAAAGCAGCCCAGCAGGACCAGCAGCTACCGGAGCACCAGGACCCAATTCAAGCGGAACACCACCAGCCCCCGGAGGCCCCGCTCCCGGATCAAGTGGAGCCCCCGGAGCCCCCGCCCCTGGAGCCCCATCCCCATCTGGTGCTGCCTCTCCAACTGGTGCTTCTAGTCCTAAGGGTAGTGAACCTGCTGCCGCTCCAAAGAGCTCAGGAGCTGCTCCCGCCGGTGCACCGTAAGTATTTTTACGAAGCCTTTGGTTTAAACATTTTTAAATAATCAATTATAATTAATTAATTATTATAATAAATGCCTTTTTTAAAAAAAAGTAAATCAAGCAATGCACCTGCATCCACTACCGCTCCCGCCTCAGGTGCCGTTTCAAGCATTCGTTTCAACGGTTTTGAATTGATTGTTGGATCTTTTGCTGCTTTATTGATCGGTACCTTATTATACTAAGCTTTTGATATAATTTTATTATAATCAAAAAAAATTTTTTTTACTCTTTTAATCATTACATGTTCACAACAACTAAAAGAACGTTTATATTATACATATTTTATTGTGGGAATGGTAATATCTGTAATAAATAATTTTCTGTGTGAGGAAACTTGATAGAAATTTTCATTTTTGTATCAGCAAACCGTACTTTGTACTCTAAATAAATTTTAGAATTTTTATAGCCAATAGTTTTTTGAATCATTTAAATTATATGCTACTTTTTAGGATCAAATTATTTCTTTTTAACGTTCAAAGGTACTTAATGATGTTAACATTATAATAAAGCTTTATCATTTTTTACTTAAATCTATAATTCACAATTTTGTCTACATTTTGTCTACAAGAATTATTTGATACTTTGATTTTTAATAAAAGTTACCTCGTAGAATTTTTATTTTTGATACTTTTAATAAAAGTTAACTCGCAGAATTTATTTAATAAATGTTAACTTTGATACTTGAATTAATTGATAATAAATGTTAACTCGCAGGATTTATTTTGATACTTGAATTAATTGATAAAGTTAAACTCGCAGAATTTATTATAATATATTCATTAATTGGTAATAAAAGTTAAACTCGCAGAATTTATCATTTAGTACTTTGAATAATTGGTAATAAATTCGCAGGATTTATCATTCGATACTTTGATTAATTGATAATAAAAGTTAACACACAGAATTTATCATTCGATACTTTGATTAATTGATAATAAAAGTTAACACACAGAATTTATCATTCGATACTTTGATTAATT